TTGGTCACAGTGCCTTTCTCACAGTCATAGGAACCTAAGGAAGACACAGCCTGTGTGTCAATGTGGAGGCCGGGAGAAAGGACCGGCGTGCACAGTTGGGGAAAGTGACAGATGGTCCTACACCGAGTCATCTTCTTCTCCTCTTGTTTTCCAGGCAGATGAACCTGTAATCCACTTACCACATGATCACTAGTAACAAGGTCCACACTTGGGGTATGTTTGAGAGTAGTGAACAGTAGGCACCGGGGGCAGTCCAGAGTCCCAAGTTGCTTAAAAACCACAGGAAAAGCTTTATATCCAGCCTGACTTTTAAAATAATAACATGACTAGTTTCTATATACAAGTTATGAAATGGGGTAGGACAGTATCCCCAAGGAGAGACTGGACATACCTCAGTGTGCATGCATACACACACACACACACGCAAATACACATACACACGTGCGCGCGCGCACACACACACACACACACACACACACACATACAACAAAGGTCAAGAACCTTAGCAAAGTTAGAAGGCTACCATACACTCAAGGAGTGAGAGCATGGTTAGCCTAACACCCTTCACACACACCCCCAAACACACACACGTATACCTGCTGCTTCCCAAGACAGTTGGCTCTCTGACAGAGTGACAGTGCTTGAAGTTGTGTCCTTTGAAATCATCATCAAGCCCTGCTCGTTTCTGATTTTGTTAGAGATGTTGGTGGTCATGCTACCCTCTTCCCTGTTCCTCCAGTACAGGCGGGGGACGTGGGTTTGTGTGTGCACATTGTGGGCTTGTTGGTGTGTGAAGGGGGCTGTGTGGCCATGTCAGTGTTGAGTTCTGAGAAACCAAAGAAATAAGTATGAAAGTATGGCATGCCTGGGTTTATCTTGTGGGGGGGGGAGTATGATAACCCAGCCAAGAGCCTTTATCTGTTTAATGTAGCAGAACTCAATGGCAGGAAACCCAACTCCGTATTAGCATATCATGAAAATGTGCAGTGCAGCTGCCTGGGAGTGGCCAGTTTATTATTGCTGGGGGCTGTCCTGGGTTATGATCTGGAAGAATTTGAGTCGCCCTTTACATTTTTTTCCCCTGCTCTCCTTTGATTTTGGCAGTAGCAGGAGAAGAGAGTATTCCCATGAGATTCAATTATTTCCTTTCAAAATTCTCTTGGACTCATAATGGCTATTAAAAATGGAAGGCACCCATATCTCATGCTATTCAGCTTAACTGGTAATTAAAGTACAATTAAATTTTTCACGGTGTAGATTGTGTCTGTTTTTTTTTCCAGGGGAATTACAAACCCTGAGCCCTTGAGAATTATGGGATTAAGCTATAGACATTTAATAATTCAACTTTGATCCGATGCCGCCACTGATGGGTCTCTAAAATGGAATGGAGGGGGGTGAAGTGTTGTTCTCTTATTAATGGTGAATTTAAATTTTATTTGGTTTCTTAGAAACCAGAAAATAACTAGCGGGCCATGAAGGAAAGGACATTGCAAGTGTAGTTTTGACTTGGCAGTGGCCACTGTCCCCAGTACAAGCCAATAATCACCTTCCTGCTGCCAGACCAGTTTCTCTCAAGTAGTTTTGTGCAATTTGGAACATTCCTGAGTTGTTACCAGTGAGCAAGGCATCAGCATTTGGCCGGAGTTTGGAGACAGAATTGCTTGGAACCTCTGTGGCCTTGGCCGAATGCTCACGGCTCCCCTCTCTTCCTCTCACTCACATACATTTTTTTCCTTTGTTGGTTAAAAATGATTTTGCAGAACAGGATTGTAGCTTTGACTTCTGAAAGACTTCTGAAAGACATTCTGCTTACCTGAAGCCGTGACCTCGCCAGATCTTTGTGCCAAGGAGAGTAGCAAGGGTCAGTTTGATGGAAACAGAAGAAAGGGCCACTTCCTGCAGCCCACCAGCAGAAAGACACACCTGTCCAGCACCGCCATTTGTGTTAGCAGATTCTAGGAAAACAGAGGTACCACAGCTTAACTGCTCATCCCACTCCTGAATGGTGGTGATTGCCATCCTCAGATACTATCCTCGATCCTGATTGGTGGTGATTGTCTGGTACTCTCCTCAGGCCTGACTCATCTTTAACTCTGGAGAAAATAACGACTCTCCATTTCTTAAATCTATTGTGAAAATTCATCGTAAAGAAACCTTATATGTAGGGGCTGGGGAGGTGCTCAGTCAGTATAATGCTTATGACAGGAGCATGAGGACCCGAGTCCAGGTACCCCCAGTACATACCAAGAGCACTGCTGTGTATTTGCGCGCGCACACACACACACACACACACACACACACACACACACACACACACACACAGAGTGGGGGTGCATGGAGAGCAGAGAGAGAGAAAAAGAGAGACCATGTCTCACATTGGCCGGGTATGAGTTTAGTGAGTGGAGACAGTAGGCCCTGAGTTATGGTATTGTGCCTGTTGTCAGTCCAGCAGATTTTAATGCCTGCATCTCCACTGTGGAACCCTAGCCTAAAATGTCCCTCTCCTTTCTTTTCTTCCTCTTCTTCTTCTTTTTTTTATTAATTTATCTTCTGTGAGTAGCAAATCAGTTGAATGGCTCAAAAGACTCCTAATTCTTAGTGTCTCCCGGGAGCTGATAATGTGTTCCGTGGCACACAGTAGGCACTCCGTATGTAGACGGCTGCAGGGGTGAAAGTAATATCGCAGATGCATTAGATGATGGTGTAGTCTATCCTTCTGCCTCAGTTCAGTGGTTCGTGCCCTGGAGTGGGAGTAAGAACTTGGGGGGTATGTGTCATGTTAAAGCTGTGGACATTTGAAGTGGTGTGCCCAGACTCAGGTGTGTCTGCCAGGAAGGACAGGAGACGCAGACTCCCACACCAGCTCGCAGGAGAACAGCAGCAGCAGCAGCAGCACAGTGCCAGTTGCTGTGGGAATGGCATCTAGTTCTTCTGGTTGCCTGGACCCATGGCGACGACGAACACTGAATATTGGTTTTGGGAATAGTGACTAATAGATGGTAAAAAGCCAAATACTTGTCGACTCCAACTCTTCTCTGGTGGGGGCCATGGACTTTGGCAGTCAACTGAAATCAACCTTCATTAGTTGCCCAAAACAGATAAATTAGAAGAGCAGAATTTATGCCGAAAGATGTGAGGCCCAGCTGAGCAGCTGGGTATTGTTTCATGCGTGGCAAATACTTAATGCAGTTCAGAAAAGATAGAAAGGGCTGGGAAGCATTGTCTCCTTTCCTAATGTTTTATTAGAAATCTGTAAGGGCATGCTAATAAATTTAATCCTATAACAAACAACAGTTTGTTCATTCAGGTCCAACTTTACCTCATGCCTTGTGCAGTTTTGCCTAGCTCTTCCATCCTCTGCTTCTTGCCCATGATAAGGACATACTAAGCCTGTCTTTCATATATCCTGAAGACTGGAATAGCCTGATTCTTGCCTTCTCTGTCGTAGATAGTAACATGGTTGTTGAATCCACCAGTTAAAGAAAGTTCCCTGTATATTCCTCCTGTTTGGACAGGCTGCATATTTTTTTCTTGGTCCTTGAATCTTGAAAAAACATCTTCTCATGTTTTTTAAGTACCTTTGCCCTGACACCATGAATTTGAAAGTCAGAACAGAGGCCTAAACTCTATTTTGAATATGAGATGTGTCCTGCCTGCTGTGTGGTTCAGGTGAACATTTTAATAGTTTGTGGCATCGGAAGTTTTTGTATGTTGTGGCTGTTCTGTGTATGTTGTATATATGAGGGTGCATTGCTAAAAAGAAATCTGTTACCTCATATAACAAGAAAGTCCATGAGTGTCTGGCTTTGGGAAGGGCGGCACCCAGAACTCTAAAAACACGCCAGGGTGCTCTCTGTCTAGATCTCTGCTTCTTCTGGAGTTGGTGCCATAGTCAGGCACAGTGGACTTCAGGATTCCTCCAAACTGATCATGTGCAGGTTTGTCATCTTTCTTCTCATTTTTGCTGTCTCTAGAAAGAATTTGTTGTTTTTCTTAAGGACTTTCAGTTCTAGAACTTCCCAGAAGGAATTCCCTCATTGTCCCGTCGTGGCCAGGCTCTGCATTTGGACTGTCGCTCATCTTTCCTGCTGTCATTCTATTCCCATGGAGACCTGCAGGACTTTACTTTATCTGGTCATTTCAGGTCTCTGTGTAGCTTTTACCGTCTAAAGCTGTCGCTAGACAACCATTTCTGATGACTGAATTGGCAAGTTCATGCAGCTCAGCCTAACTGGCAGGTCTGGAGTGGCGGGATTTCTCAGCAGCAGTAATTGTGCATAGGAAGCCTTGCATTCATTTTTGCATAGATGGTTTTTCTCATTTTGTTGTTGGTGACTTGTTCCTGGCCCTCCTCCTGAACCTCGGTGGGATGTGTACGCAGCTGGAGGCAAATAACAGAGTGTTGAAGCATATGGTAAGCCGTTCATAACTGGGTCCTGTGCCCGAGATGGCGATCTTTCATGTTGCTGGTGGAGGTTCTGCATGCCAGTCTGGAATTTCACATTAAATTAGCTCCTGTGACTCCAGTAATGAGGAAGGATAGGACTGTGCAAGCATTACCGAGAAGCTGCTCTGTGTATGCCTGGGCAGTTACAGAGGATGGAATTTCAGAGCTAGAAAGGACAGTCTGGAGACAGACCCCTGCTTCTCAGATGACCCTGTCATGATTCAGTGCACTAAGGAATTTGCCCACAGCCAGAACTGGTTAAGAAGCCTGAGGCTCTTGGTCCTGGCCTATCTTCTTCCCTCTCAGCCCTCATCCCCCAGAGCCCTGCTGCCTTCCAGAGGGGACGATCAGATGCGTTTCCCACTTTCTTTGTAGCTGCTTTCATGGAGGCACATGAGAGAGTATTGGAGACTGCAGCTACCTTAGTAGTCAGGTGTCGGCAGAGTCAAGGGCCAGGCTGTGGGCTAGAGCCCAGAGCTACTGACCTGCAGCATCTAAAACATGACTACTTATGTCTCTGGTGCTTCCACTTTGGATGTGTGATTTTTTTAAAAAATCAATATTGTAAAAATAACAACTGTCTAAGTATATACAGTAAAATGGTTAAGATCTTTATATCAGGTAGCTATTTTGTAAATTTTTAATGTTTTAAAATTAATTAATCAATTTTTATGTGCATGGATGTTTTTGCCTGCATATATGTCTATGTACCATGTGTGCACCCGGTGCCCTCATCTGCCAGACATGTCAGAGCCCCTGGAACTGGAAATACAGATGGGTGTGAGCTGCCATCGTGTAGGTGCTTGGAATCGAACCCAGGTCCTCTGGAAGAACAACTAGTGCACTTAACCACTGAGCCATCTCTCCAGCCCCTATTTTTGTAAATGTTTTAAAATTTAGGGAGATCGTTAATGTTAGGATTGATGCTGGAATCTCAGGAGACTGGTAGTAGTTGCCTTTTGAGGACCTTGTGACTGTTAGTTTTTCGGCTGCGTTGTGTTCTTACCCTGCAAGGAAATGCCACGAAACACGACAGAATCCGCTAACAAGAGTTTTATTAAAGGTAAAGGGACATTGAGTGAACAGGCCTGCGGGAAACACGTATGTGGAGAAGAAGGAACCGGGAACATGGCGCCTGATTTTAAAGGCTGGGCGTGGACAGATCAGCGTCACTACTACACGCAAGCGCGTAGATCACATGGCCACGTTGCGTGCCTACGTGGCTAGTGGAACGTCACGGATCTTGGTCACGCGAGATGCCCTGACCCGGAAATGGCTATCCTGACCTGGACCTGGCTAGGCGGAAGTGTCCGCCAGGCATATGCAAACACGCCTGACCGTGGGGGCTTGTTGTAAATCTTTCAGTGACCATTATGAACTTCTCGAGTTCCTCCTTGGAAGCACTACCGAGTCACGCCTCTCTCATTCTTCAGTGGTTCGTTTTTCTTAATGAAGGCTCACGCCGGAAGCAACTCAAGTACCTCGCCATGGGCGAGGTTGACAGCCATGCTGACATACTCCACAGGCAGCTCGCCCGGATGCAGCTGTCTGTTAGCCAAAGGGAATGATTGACAGGCAGAGCAGGACTTTCATGAAGGTCTGCAGAAGATGTTGTTGTAGTCCAGAAGAGCGTGATCTGGCGTTATTGGTCAGTTAGCTTGTGGTTTGTGTGTTTTGGGTTTTGTTGAAGGTTTTATGACTCTTTGTTTCCTTCATGTGTCGTTATGTTGTTGTTGTTTTTGTTGTTTGTTGACTCCTAAACCAGAGTAATTTATTTGAAGCTGTAGACTTGATTTCTCTTTCAACTTGGCATAATGGCTCAGTCTTCTGGCCGTCTAAATTGGGAGTTTAAAAGTTCCCGATTCTATCACTCTTTGTGTGAAGGAAGGTTCCTTTTATAGCCCTTTGGTGTTGATCTGGGGTGACACTGAGAATGGACCTATCCCCACTTCCTGGGTGATGAAATGGAGTTCCTAGTGGGTTAGTTATTGAGCGCAGGACCAAGTGTAAGTCCTTCTGAGCCTTGCGGCTAGGCAGGTTTGACAAACACGTCCTCAATATCTTCATCCATGGCTGAAGATGTGGAATAGCTCCAGGCCACCCTGGCCACGTCAAGTCCTCCCCTCCCCCACTCTTCTAGGAAGTTTCTCAACCACTGTGGTGTAATTCACCCAGTCAAATCTGATTCTCCCTTTATTGGCCTCATTACCATTTTGGGGGGGATTTTTTTTTTAATTCTTCTACATAAAAAAGCATCAGGCACATTTTAAAAGTCGAGCTATTTTAAATATTTGTAATTGGTTCTGGTATAATGTAACACAGCCCGGAAAAGTAAACTCCTTTATGGTCATGTTCTCTAAATGGAACTGTTATTGGGTTTCTCCTCCAGACACTTGCCTATAAAAGCCAAACAAGACCCAGTCAGTTTTGTCTCTGCATAGTAATTCCAAGTGAGTTTCTTCAACTCAGGGTCTTCTGTGATGAGCAAAGAATTTGCTGGGAATGACTCCACCCCATATGCTAATGGATTCTGTGGGCACCAAGCCGTCAGCATGTCCTGTTATGTTCTGTCTCCTCCCACTGGGAGAGAGCCCCATTAATCTATAGCCATAGTGGTCGAGGAAAACCACTCTGTCTTCAGGCAGTCTGACTCTTTCCCACTCCCTGGGGCCTGCCCTGGACCTCGCATTCCCTTGTGGTAGTGCTGGAATGTTCATGGCTTGCTGTCTGGCCCCTATTACTAATTGAGCGAAAGCTTTGCTCTTTTCTTATGCATGTATACAGATCATTCTTCAAGAACCAAGTTTTCATGAGTTGTTATTCCAGATGTGCTCTTTCTCAAGCAGTTTGATCTGCAGACGTGCTCTGTTTGTTCACTGAGGCACATCTGCATGGCAGGCCCATGTGCCACACACTGCTAGATACAGCGCTGCACCTTTTCAAAGCTAAACACGAGCCTTGTCACCGCATAGCTAACCACGTCACGTGAGCTGCAGGCGACAGTGGTACGATTGTAGAATACAGCACATAGTTATAAATTACATCAAGCAAGGGAAGACACCCTGTCATGGCATCTACATACAGTCGGCCCATAGGAGGGGCTGCCAGGGCCGTGACCTGCCATAACTGCCTGAGTTCATCCTCCTGAAGAATATGAAAAAGAAGGGTGTCTCTCATTCTGGGAAGGCCTCAGGATGGCAGGCTTTCTACTGTCACCTGTAAGCAGAGGGCCTTGGAAATCATGGCGCAGCAGCACAGAAGGGCACCCGAGAATTCGAGGGTCCCAAGCAGCTCCGTGTGCCCCTCCTGCTCTGCTGTTTGTGCATAAGCCAGACTCGCCTGCCCAGTTTGCTGTGGTCGGCCGTGTTTCCAGCACATTGGCCGTCATTTCTCAAAGCTATAGAGCATCTCTCTTGTGCTGCCTTCTTCTCCCTATGAGCTACTCCTCAGGGACCTGCCCAATCCCTGTCGGTTTTATTCCTTGGGACTCATCCTCTGGCTATTGGCTTCATGGGGAGCACCGTGTTGAGAGTGAAGGGAATTGGTCTTGGCTGGTGGGCATCCATCTTCCTGCCTGTGGCCTGAGAGAGAATGCTCCTTGAAGACATGCACAGAGGCCATGTAAAGAAAAGGGTTGGAACAAGTGATTCAGAATGAGGCTGACCAGGTAGGTGACATCTTAGGTGGAAGCTGCAAGACAGTCTCCTGGGGGTGGCGGGGGAGTGTTATAACTCCTTGAAGTGGTGGGGAGATGCCAGCTGCTCCCACAGTTCCTGTGAATTCCGGCACACATCTCCAGGTGAGGTACCCCACAAGCAGTGCTCTGGTTCACCGGCCTATTCAAACATCAGGGAGAAACTCATCTAGAACAGGGCAGACAGAGCCTCCCTCCTGTCAGCATCAGAGGCCAAAATTCAAGCGCAGTGTGCTGTATATGCCGGTTTACCCACATGATCAGTGTTCCGATGAAGATGTGCTCGTTTGCATAATCTCGCTTTTCACTTAGTCTCGTCCCAGACGCTCTGCATTCAGACCTGCCAGATGCCCATTTTACTGGAAAGGGGAGGCGAGGGCCTTCTAGACTGAGGCTTCCTCCTCCGTGGAGACTGTAGTGGAAGCTGCAAGTGTCACTAAACTGAGGCTCTGCTTGGTAAAGCCACTAACCCCAAGCTCCGGGTCAAGGAAAGAAGGGAACCAGGGCTGCCACCTTCACCTTCAAACAGCTGGGCCCAAGAATTCCCCTGGAGTTTCCCGGATTAGGAAGCAGACAGTAATAGCTGGGAGTTGTATATTTTCTGAAGTAGGAGTGCTTCCACTTTCCAGACTAACTCATTTCCCCTGAGGAACATTTGGCAGGTATGCGTAGTCAACAAAGCTTATTAGGTTTCTGTGCCCCAAGCTGCAAATCCGAGCTGCTTAGCATCCTTGAACCCATATCATGGAAAGGCTTAGGCTTTTGAAGATGGTGGAATTCTCTAGAAGACAGAGGAAACAGTCCTTGAATGGGAAGCATCAGCATTATCTTCATCAGCTCTTCTTCAGAACCCAGAAGCAATGGAGAAGTCCTGTCTTGGCCCGACTTTGGAAACATGAAAGGGAGGACATTTGTAGCCAGCTTGAACCCTCGGGTCATTTCCTGTACTTCAGTGAGTGGAGCCTCACACGCTTCACCGTGGTCTGTGGCACTGGGCTGGGGAGCTCTGAGCAGTAACTGTTTGAATCCCTTCTACGTGGCTGAGAGATAGCTCAGTCAGTAAGGTGCTGGCCTCGCCATCAAGAGGACACAAGATGAATCTCCAGAACCCAAATAAAAAAGCTGGGCGGAGTGGGGTGCACTTGTAACGTGGAGATCAGTGAATTCCTGGGGCTCACTGGCCACCCAGCCTAGCCTACTCAGCAAGTTCCATGCCAGTGAGAGACCTTGTCTCAAAAAACAAAAACAAATTTTAAAAAAAGGCAGATGGCATTCCTAAGGAATGATACCAGAGGTTGTCATCATCTGACTTCATCAACATGTGCACATGTGTGCATTCATACCTAGACACATGTATACCCACATATACTTGAACTTATGCATGTGTAAACACACACACACGCACACACACACACACACACACACACACACTTCTAAAACCTATTGGTACTGCTACTGAAGCAGCTTCCTCCGGCACCTGGTCCCTGGCTGTAGGAGCTGTTACAGTCTGGAGTCATTGCTGTTTAAGTGTCCTTGAACCCTCAATCACAGCCTTCCATTCTGACTGACTAATCAGAAAGGTCTCAGGGCAGCAGACCTTTGCTGGTCAGGGTGCACTGTGTCACTGGGGTCAAAGGGTGAGCCACAGATGCAGAGGTCACGGCAGAAGTGAGTGGCACTTCAGGACACTCACAGTCATTCCCAGCAAAATGCTTAAGTGTCTGTGCAGGTTACATTTCGGCAGCCTGGATTCACTGAATTTGAATCTGTGGTAACTCTGAGGAGGCTGGGACTGATGCCCTCATTCCCAGGGTCTGTAGAGAGAAAAAAAAAATGTATGTCCTAAGAAAGTGATGAATTTGTAGGAAATGGCAGAGGAAATCCAGCCCATTCCCGCTGCCTTTCCAGCATGCCACCCCAGATAAACATAGTTAATCATAGCCAGCCCCTTACTGTGTGTTAGCGCCGTCCCACAGAGCTTCTGGTTGGCAGTGCTGCGGCTGTTGCTCTGTGCTGTTGTGCAGGTTCACAACAGATCAATCTCCACTTCGTTACGAGAATCCAGAGCTCCACGTTGGCATCCATTTGGATGTTTCCGTATCCCACTTAGTCCTGTTTTGTAAATTCGTATTGCATTTCATTTTCAGTAAAGTGTTGGGATGACAGGATCTTTGATTATTGTACATAATTATATAAGTTCCAGATAATCCCTCCATATAAGTCCTGAAAAAGAGATCTCCCAAGAACTATGCTTCCTCTCCTTGTGGCACACTGTGTATACTTTTTTTCGGCGGGGAGGGGAGTTTGTGGAGACAGAGTTTCTCCATGTAGTTTTGGCGCCTGTCCTGGATCTTGCTCTGTAGACCAGGCTGGCCTCGAACTCACAGAGATCCTCCTGGCTCTGCCTCCCGAGTGCTGGGATTAGAGGCGTGCGCCACCACTGCCCAGCTCTGTGGATACTCTTGACCTTCATATTTATGCATTAACTTTAATGTCCTGATGAAGTTTTTTAATAGGATGGAAGTGTACCCTGTATCTGCTGTTTGGGGGATATTGTGATTGCTTGTAATATGATCTGAAGAAAATTGATCAGCTACTTAGAGGTAGGACCACTACGATAGAGTGATCAGAAAAAGAGCATGTGAGATAATGGTGTTTGAGCTGAAAGGGAATGGATGAGAAGAGGATTTGGGGAGTTCCTTCTCCATGCATGGTCTGGTCCTGAGGCAAAGAAGTCTGGGTGAACTGCAGAACTGAAGCGGTAATGCTGGTGATGGGCACACATGGGCCAAAGGATGGGGTAAAGTTCGAGTGGTCAGGGGACTTCTCGGTCACTTGGCACAGTTAGAACATGCTTTAAGCCACCAGAGACAAAGCAGAGCAATGGCAAGTGGAAGGTTGTAGCCAGAAGCAAGAGGAACACTCTGGCTGAGAAAAAGAGAAACATGAAGCGGGGCTGGGGCTGACATCCTGGCCTCTTGGCTCTGGGCAGCGACAGCGAAGCTGCTGGCAGCCTGGCTTCTGACGTGTACTGGTTACCATATGTGCACTCTATGAAGTGTGGTGTGAGCGAGAGACCCACGCCTGTGTCAGGAGGTGCTGGCCGTGGCTGTGACCCTGAAATGATGGCTTCTGGGAAGCCCGTGTGTCCTTGAGGTACAGAATGCAGATGTGGGAGGATCCAGATGTGGGCTGATTCAGGCCTGAGACAAGCTACCTTCCACCTTAGTGACAGATCTCCATTGAGTTACCCTATCTAGAGTATCAGACGGTACCCTATCTGAGCCAACACTGAAGAGTCCATTCATGATGAGGGAAGAGAGCATCAAGAGAGACAGTGAAGGGTTGGGGATTCAGCTCAGAGGTAGAGCGCTTGCCTAGCAAGTGCAAGGCCCTGGGTTTGGTCCCCAGCTCTGAAAAAAAAAAAAAAAAAGAAGGAAAAAAGAGAAAGACAGTGAAGCCGGATGGTGGTGGCACACGCCATTAATCCCAGCACTCGGGAGGCAGAGGCAGGTGGATCTCTGTGAGTTCGAGCCCAGCCTGGTCACCAAAGCGAGTTCCAGGAAAGGCGCAAAGCTACACAGAGAAACCCTGTCTCGAAAAACCAAACCAAAAAAAAAAGAAAGAAAGACAGTGAAGACCACTGACAGCAGTGAATTCATTCCACATGGAAACCAAACAGTAGAATAAAAGTCTTCAATGTATTGCAAACACTTAAAGAGGAACAGAACCCTCTGGAGTGGGCAAACAAATAAAATAGGAGAATTGACCAGAACCAATTAGAAAACTATAGTCAATGAAATAAAACAATGAATTTATGTATTGAATTAAAAGAGAGAACTGAGGAATTTCTTTGGACAGAAAAAGAAATCTTTTCAAAAATTGTAAAAAAAAAAAAAAAAAAAAAGTAGCTAAGGGGCTAGAGAGATGGCTTGGTGGTTAAGAGCTCCTGATGCTCTTCCTGAGGCAAGACAAGGAGATGGAAAGAAAGAAGTGAAGGACGGGAGCAGGGCTGGGATCCAGCAAGGCTCTTTTTTTTAAGATCAGTGGCAAACTGAGGGCTAAGATGAGAAGTGCCCTGGTACATCCACGCTCAGATGACAGTGTGACTCTTGATGGCCTGGACAGAGACTGGGACGCCCACGGCGAGAATTCTGCCCGTCATGTCCCCTTCCGGTCTGAGCCTGGCCTAGAGAGCAGAGGGCGTTGGCACTGCTCCGTCCTGCCAGTGAGCGAGGCTCCTGACCAAAGCGCAGAGAACGTGTTGCCTGCTCTCGGGAACGCAAGCCTTTGCCGGGGAGAGATGCTCAGTGTGTATCTGATCCATAAGGGGATCTGTTTCATCACCACTGTGCTCCTGGGTGGCTACAGCTGCTGAGATGAAGGAAGAGAGCCAAAGGGATGCCTTGAGGTGTTCCACGCCTTTGAACGAGATTGCCTCCCCAGGTACCTGCCTCACCCCAGCTCCTGCTCTGGGCTCCCCTTGCCTCCTTTGCTGCTACAAGGGTCACATTCATAAAAAAAAGAATTTTTTTTTTAAAGCTGTGTGCTAGCTACAGACTATTTGACCTATTTATGAATCATGGCTGAGCGGTGTCTTGATAGACTCGCTATACGCCCTGTTGGTCTGGTACCCCCAGAAAAGGACAAACCAGTAGAATGTCAAAATTCCATGTGTCCTGAGGGGTTAACAGATGGAAATATGTCCTCTTAATTTGCGTGATGAGCTTGCTTGGTGCCTGTTATCACCAACAGACCTGTTTTGGGGTGTATTATTACCATGAAGATTAAGCATAAAAACTTACAAAATCTGATTAGGAAAGAATCCCTGGCTGTTAACAGCTCTAAGCACCGGCGCCCCCCACCCCCCCAAAAAAAAACAGGTTAGCACAGACCTATTTTGCAGTATACTGTGTTATGTGACTTAAGCCAATTCATCAACTTTTGTGAATTTTCATTTTCTCCCTTATAAATGAGAATGTCCACAGTAATGCTGCTGGGGGATTCATTATGCAGTCCCTGTAACAGTACTGGGCTAATTGTGGGCCATGAATAACTATTTCTTAATGAAATGAATGCATGTCGAAACCACTTGGAGGCTCCTAGGATGTAGTCATAGCTGTATAAATAAGAAGCCAGCCTTTGGATAGGATTCTCTCTCTCTCCCTCTCCCCCTCCCTCGCTCCCCCACACCCCCTCTCCCTGCCCCCACTCTCACACACACCCCCTACACCTGTCTAAAATTAGACTTTTTATGAAGCAGGCTGATCGAGCAGTCCTGTCACCCAGCCTGACAGTGAGACCTCGTAGGGAGGCAGGGAGAGCTGGCTGTGGAAGGGAGTGGCTCAGAGGAGAGGGAAGAGGCAGGAATTCTGGAGGGACATAAGCATTGTCAGCATGGGAGAGGAGGAAAGGTGGAGTGGGGGCCACGCAGGGGCTCTGCTGGGGCTTTTTCAGTGGCTTCGAAAGCACAGGGTGAGTGGCGTTAGGAAACAGTCTGGCTGGGACACTAGAAAGGAGCAGGTGAAGGAACTGAATTTCTGCAGAACCAGGGCCTCCTGATGCTCGTGGGAGTACACACAAGTCTCCCCCTCCCCTTCCTCTCAACCTCTCTCTCTTTCTTTTCTAAGAGATAGATAAACTCATTACCTTCAGAAAATGGTAATCCGCCAGGCAGAGCCCTGCTCCACAGCCCCACTCAAGAAAAACACAGACAGCGAACCTATAAACCTTGGTTACCTACAGAGACACAGTGCCACTCTGCCCTGACTTGGGGACTCCTGCCGTTTCCATATGCTATTTTGCAGTGTCCTGGCGTTCACAAAATAAACCAGCCCATTGCATTAGCAAGCATTGCAGGCAGCACTTTGGGGCCCGATGGGGGATTCGGAAGGGCTAGTCCTGCGCTGGCTAGCCCTCTCTTCCTAGGTGAAATGCCACTTTCCTTTTCCCGACTGACTTCACTTCCCATCAAATGCCTGAAGCAATTTAGTAAAGGTATGCACTGCGGGTAGGGAGTGAAGTGGCCAGACCGAGGAAGTGTCTGCATTCTGGAGTATCTGGGAAGAGCCGCATCTGCTGTGGACTTGGCTTCCTCCTGGTGTGGTCTCAGCTTCCTCACAGTGCAGCCTGTTGAATGGGCACAGACAGGTTGAGGAGCCCCATCACAGCCCCAGTCCCAGCGTTTCCTGCCGTCTAACAGCAGCCGGATCCACATTTGTGTCACCACCTTTGATTTCCCCGGAAAATCATTTGTCCAGAAATACAGAGTGAATTAAGCAAGAAATATTCCTCACAGTGGAAACTAATAGACTTGCTGATTAGATAGAACAGACTGCAGTCCAGTTCTAGATTCTGATTGGGCCCCACCAAGCTTTATCTCAGCAATTTTGTGAGTCAGGAAGATGCTCAACTGTCTTAATAAAAATTGGCACCATCCATTCAAATGACTCAGGCGAAGCCAGAAACTCCTGCTCTGCCCGCTTCTAAACTTAGCCTGGCCTCTGCTAGGAACTCTCTCTTTGTGTAGTTTGCTCTGGCTTTTCTGAAAGCGTTCACATCCCTGGATGGTCAGTGGGGCTCGGTTTGGAGCGAGACATGGGTAGTACAGTCACTTGCAGGACCCGATTCCATCCTTGAAGAACTTTGTTGACCTTGACTCTGGCTGGACACTCCACTAGACCTCACAATGCCAAGCAGGTAGATCACAGTGAATCCCACTCATTGATTCGGCTAGTCTAGTATCCAGTGGTGTGTGAGTCACAAGCATAATAGTGGTATTTCTACAACCATGTTCTATACTCAGGACACTCTGTAACTTTCCTTTTTAATCTATTCTTTGAGTTCTTTGTGTTGTTTGAGAAGCAGGATTTTGTACCTACTGTTTCCACTGCCCAGAACATTCTCAGTAAGTCTAATTTTGATTCATCTATCAACCTGTCCCCAACAAAAATCTCTCTTCTGGGAGGGTCCCTATGGGTTAGAGTAGGTCTGCCTGCTGATAGCCTTCCCTGTCTTTGTTAGAACCTTTCAAGTGCTCCACAGGATTTTGAAAAACTAACTGTGGAGAAATGAAGTTCACCTATAACAATTGAATCTTTTCCAATTCCTTT